TTCCTCTGGATGCCATTGATTTGTCCGTCGTTACATTTTGATGAAAAGCAAATGAACTATTGTTAAAAGCAAAACTCGTAACACTCGTCGCTAACAATGCAAATAAGCGGTTACACTATAACAGGCCAACGGTGGCGGCGACTGCTCTTATTCGTGAGAAAAGAGGGGGCAGATATGTGGACTTAAAGTTGGAGATCACACTCGGATATAACGAAGCACCATCGTTTTCTGAGGTTTTAATTTTTGTTTGGGGGGGGGGGGGGGTAGTTGATATGAATAATGTTTAAGTTACAGACATGGACACTTTTATATGATCAGATGCCGAGTAGCAACTATAAGTTCAAGAACGGCCACTGCCCCAAACATTATTTGCAAAAAAATGTATATCTTGAGATGCAGATCAGATGCCGAGTAGCAACTATAAGTTCGAGAACGGCCACTGCCCCAAACATTATTTGCAAAAAAATGTATATCTTGAGATGCAGTGTTAATGACTAACGTCCGTCCTGTTATGTGTGCGCTCACCACTGCCATTACAGCATCTTGTTGTTTTTGTTTAACCTGTTGCTGCCCACATTACACTTGTAATGTGGGCGATTAGAAACTCGCTTTGATGGTCAGCCAAGCCCTGAGCAAACGCTTTTAAAAACAAAATCCCTGGCGCTTCACAGAGCTGGCGATAAAAGGGCCATTTACAATGTTTGTTTTAATCCCGGCTGCTGGGGAGATGGGTATATGCAAATTTACCGACAGAGCTATTTTATAGATCCCAATAAAACAGAAGGGAGGCCAATAATCGTGGGTGATGTGAGCTACTGCAGTTTAACGCCTATAATGGTAAAATACTATATTATATTCTTGGTTCTTTCGGTAAAGTCACGTAGAAGGGAAACAATAAAATAATAAAAATATAAAACAATAAAATTCTCACGACGTTTCGACTGCAACACAAGCAATCATCAGTGCTAACGTTAAAAAAACGCCACTTTTTTAAAATTTTCTTGTTGTGGTTTTTAACACCTGATGATTGCTTGTGTTGCAGTCGAAACGTCGTGAGAATTTTATTGTTTTATATTTTGATAATTTTATTGTTTCCCTTCTACGCGACTTTACCGAAAGAACCAAGAGTATGAATCCCTGCAGTCACGAAAGCTTTAAATCTAAATTTAAATACTATATGTTTTAGTTGTTTTTTTGCTTGCACCAAGAATGTGGATGAGTGTAATTTAACCGGGTTGTCTTGTAACCTACGTACTGAACGTCTCCATAAAAGTTGTTTTCATCGTTTGGAATGTAGTGCGAGTTAGGTCATTCTAATGTTGGCCAACGTAGGCTGTTTTTTTTGTTCTTGTGATAATTCAAAGAAACAGCAAGAGTGGCACATTTGAATCATGTTTTCATTTTCCTCTGCGAATGTTGAGCAATGCCCTTTGATGGTGAGTAACAAACAGAGCAGTGAGCCATGCCATTAAAATAACTCGGAAAGTTTCTGGTCCAAGTACACACACGCGCGCTGTGCGTGTTCATTTGGGATCAAAGTATTAAGCACACCTCCACCCTGAGGATTTAGAGCTCACCTTTAACATTGCAAAGAAATTCCACAATAAATATAAAAAAAATGCAGGAGCAAGACAAGTGACCATCACACAAGACAACTTTTACAATAAAAATCTATTTACCATAGAGTCCATGCCAAAATGTTATTACAATGTTAATTAACGTTTATATTGTAATATTAAGCTGTGGCGGTAAACATACACACACACACCAACTAGAGAGGCAATGTTGCCTCTGCAATCAAGCGCCGTAATCACACGGTCCATGGAGAATGTGCACTGCCAGACCTTCGGGGCAAAGTGCTGCTCGTTAGCACTCTTGGGAAAGGCCTCCTTTGATAACGACGATTAAATTAAGACTAAGGAAGTGTGCAGGAGGTTCTCTTTGTTGTTCAAGGGGAAAGCTGGATCTAAAAAAAGAACAAGTCCAGCATAATTCAGACGAGTAAATAAGCCCTTTGTCTATCCACTGCTGGATGAAACCCATCCCCACACCGCGTCGTTCGTGCAGTTTGTTTTCTGTTGTTCTGATGCTTCATCACGCCGGTCAACGCTGGCTGATGAAGGCGGGGAGTGGACCGGTTCATATAACACTAGTCACTGATGTAATCCGTGGCTGGGATGCGAACTCGGATCGCGATGTTCGTAGTGCAGTGCGCGAACCACTGCACCACCGCTCCCCCACGGTAACGACACCGAATGTAAACCCCGCTCTGCCTTGAGTGTCTCTAAAACTAATCCATACAATTGCCGAACTCCCCTTCAGCTGGGAAGTGTCCCCACTAGCCAGCAAAGGTACGAATGTGTCTCGTCGTTACTCAACGTGCCCCACGTTCTCGTCGCTCCGCGTTCCATCCGATGGGTTCACCATCAACACCAGTCAGTGTTGGGAAGGTCTTCCCCCCCAGCAGTGGATTTGACAACGCGCTGTATATCATTAGTATTATCGTCATCATTACGACGAATACAATACACAGCCTTCACGACGGTAACGGTATCAACAATTGTACAGGCACCGATTAAAGTTTAAAGGTCCACTAACGTACTCCGAATAATTATGTGTCAATCAATTCACCGTTGAATGCTGAGGTTTATTTGAACGTACGCACTGCGGATTCTGGGGGTTATATGACCATACTTCACCACGCTGGTCAGTGCGGGTTGGTGAAGGCGGGTAGCGTAGAAGTAGAGTATAACAATGTTGCTGAACTCCACCCTGTGCTGCACACGCACAGCCTACCCCGCAATCCGCCTGCAGCTCATTCCATAACTGCACTAATATGGGCTTATTGAATTAAAGCTTAACTGTATATTGCTTTATGATAGATATACATGCAATGTATTCAATCTTTTACATGCGACGATTATTTTATTTAAAGCAAACGCAATTTCACTCGTTGGATTAAATATCAGGTGAAATACCATTCCACTGTGCAGTTTCTAACAATTTATAAACGCACTGCGTCGACACGTGTATCGCTCCTGCGCTGCGCACGTTGCACGTCGTGGGTGCAGCATTGTGCCACTGCGCCATATCAACAGAGCAGCAGGAACACGTGAACACAGGTACGCGTACAGGGGGAGGTAGAGTACCCGGGTAAACTGGCCACATCGACTGCTGGAGGGGAGCCGGGTAGACAGGAGGGAGATGGATTAAGTCGGAAAGTAAATGCTCACCTTTCACAAGCTTAGCAAGGATTCAAGAACACAGCTATAGGTGGTTAAGCTAAACCTCACGGTAAGCAGGTACATGACAGTCAGATATGTAGATGTCAGATAAGCTATAAGCGAGATAGTCCGGTAGGAAAGAGCGGGTAACCAGGGTACACAGGTAGGCAGTGTGCCTAAGTAGGTACACGTTTATTCAGGCAAGCAAGAGTGGCTAAGCAGATACACAGGTAGGCAGTGGCAAAGCAGTTAAACAGGTAGCCAATGTGGCTACACAGGTACACAGGTAGCCAGGTAAGCAAGAGTGGCTAAACAGGTGCACAGGTAGGCAGTGGCTAAGCAGTTAAACAGGTAGCCAATGTGGCTACACAGGTACACAGGTAGCCAGGTAAGCAAGAGTGTCTAAACAGGTGCACAGGTAGGCAGTAGCTAAGCAGTTAAACAGGTAGCCAATGTGGCTACACAGGTACACAGGTAGCCAGGTAAGCAAGAGTGTCTAAACAGGTGCACAGGTAGGCAGTGGCTAAGCAGTTAAACAGGTAGCCAATGTGGCTACACAGGTACACAGGTAGCCAGGTAAGCAAGAGTGGCTAAACAGGTGCACAGGTAGGCAGTGGCTAAGCAGTTAAACAGGTAGCCAATGTGGCTACACAGGTACACAGGTAGCCAGGTAAGCAAGAGTGTCTAAACAGGTGCACAGGTAGGCAGTAGCTAAGCAGTTAAACAGGTAGCCAATGTGGCTACACAGGTACACAGGTAGCCAGGTAAGCAAGAGTGGCTAAACAGGTGCACAGGTAGGCAGTGGCTAAGCAGTTAAACAGGTAGCCAATGTGGCTACACAGGTACACAGGTAGCCAGGTAAGCAAGAGTGTCTAAACAGGTGCACAGGTAGGCAGTAGCTAAGCAGTTAAACAGGTAGCCAATGTGGCTACACAGGTACACAGGTAGCCAGGTAAGCAAGAGTGTCTAAACAGGTGCACAGGTAGGCAGTGGCTAAGCAGTTTAAACAGGTAGCCAATGTGGCTACACAGGTACACAGGTAGCCAGGTAAGCAAGGGTGGCTAAACAGGTGCACAGGTAGGCAGTGGCTAAGCAGTTAAACAGGTAGCCAATGTGGCTACACAGGTACACAGGTAGCCAGGTAAGCAAGAGTGGCTAAACAGGTGCACAGGTAGACAGTGGCTAAGCAGTTAAACAGGTAGCCAATGTGGCTACACAGGTAGGCAGGTAGGCAGTGTGGCTAAGCAGCGAGCCTGACAGGTAGTGTAGCTAAGCAAGTACACAGGTAGCCAATGTGGCTAAACAGGTACACAGGTAGGCAGTGTGGCTAAGCAGCGAGCCTGACAGGTAGTGTAGCTAAGCAAGTACACAGGTAGCCAATGTGGCTAAACAGGTACACAGGTAGCCAGTGTGGCTAAGCAGCGAGCCTGGCAGGTAGTGTAGCTAAGCAGGTACACAGGTAGCCAATGTGGCTAAACAGGTGCACAGGTAGGCAGTGTGGCTAAGCAGCGAGCCTGGCAGGTAGTGTAGCTAAGCAGGTACACAGGTAGCCAGGTAAGCAGCCTGGCTAAGCTGGTAGCCAGGTAATCAGCCTGGCTAAGCTGGTAGCCAGGTAAGCAGCCTGGCTAAGCTGGTAGCCAGGTAATCAGCCTGGCTAAGCTGGTAGCCAGGTAATCAGCCTGGCTAAGCTGGTAGCCAGGTAAGCAGCCTGGCTAAGCTGGTCGCCAGGTAAGCAGCCTGGCTAAGCTGGTCGCCAGGTGTGTCTCGCTCCCTCACCGCTCACGAGTCTCCGCGTGCCCTCGTCCAGCAGCTGAGTGGAGAGCGTGTCTCCCATGTCTGCAGGACTTCGGCCTCGGTGTTGTTGGGAGGAAGCCCTTTAGCCACAGTCGCGTTCGTGTGCCCGACGAGCCGACCTGGATCCGTGGCGATGATGTCCGCGCTTCGTCTCTTCCCCCCTCCCCTCTCTACCACAGCCTCTCTCTCTCTCGCTCTCAAGTTTCTCACCTGGCCTCGCCTTACCTGCCCCCTCAGCCAATCAGCGCTTCGCGAGGGCAGCTCCTCGTCAAACGCTCGCGTAACGCAGAGGCTTTGAGAATGGTGGATCTCGACCAATAAAAAAAACACTCCACGCCGACTTAAAAATACAACGAATTTACTGGACAAGCGACGAACTGTAGCGACAGCCTCGGCTGTTCAGCATTTAGGTGTGGGCATTGTTTTAAATCGTGTACCCCAAATGCGACCGCTAAGCTGTATTGAGCCCGGGCTGGTATTTTAGATAGGTGAGCAACAGGAGACTTGGCAGGTATTGTAGGCGTGGGACGTGAGCTTGGCCATGAGCTGGCAGGGCTGAGTGTTACACCCCTTGGTGTTTGGGTTTTTATTTCCACAGCTACTCCGGTTTCCTCCCACATAAAGCCTAGTCATCAAACCGATTGTTCAAACACCACGCAATACAGGACTCCTCAGAGAGTGCTTGTGTTTCATTGAGATTTCCCCGGGTAAAATAATGCACACGATCACGTTTATTTAAAGTAATTTAGACATTGAAGGTCTCACTTAAAATATACTCTTGTTCTAAATGGGCCTTCAGCTCGTTTTAAAGGTCGCTATATATGCATTTAGAATGTGTTTATCGTCGTACGTAGCCAACCGTGCTCATTGGAGGTCGCTATTTTTTTTTAATTTTACCAGGTAAAGCCTACTGAACTACGTAGATCATTTTCAAAACAACCTGGCCACAAATGATAGCTCAAAGAAGTGGCTTATCACATGGAATTAAATAGCAGCTAAATGCTCTAAAACGCATGTTTCTAAATGTGGAGGGAAAACCAGAGGACCCGGGAGAAGCCACACAACCACGGGGAGAACACGCAAACTCCAAATATACAGCAGGCGCCAGGGTCGGGGTCTAACCCATAACCTCATGTACATCGGGCGAGGTAGTTCACATCTCGCCACCGCGTCACCCTGTATAAACACGTGCAGCCCCTGTCAAAGAACCGCTGGATGAGGGCTTCTCCATGCCATTCAGTCCGTGGGAGTTATTTACCGATGCCTCATGCTCATCAGTGCGGGTTCGTGAAGGTGTGAAGCATAGAACCGGAATCTTTATACTGGAGGAATCCGATGAGCTATAATGCCCCTTTTCACAGATGTCCAGTAGGGGCGGGTCAGAAAGTTACAAGAATACAAAAACACAATAGGCCTGCATAGTTACGGTTAAGAAAATGACAAAAATATATATTTTTATTTGACCTGATAAAGCCCACTGAGCTATTTGATTATTTTTCCTAAGCGACTGTGCCACAAATTATAGCTCAACGAAGTGGCGTATCATGTCGAAATGTATAGCAGCCAAATAATCTAGAAGCATCTTTCATAGACGTGGAAGCAGATAATCACTGTACAGTTAAACAACGAATTTTGATGCACTCTACTCTGCTGTCCACACAACGTAGCGGAGCAAGGCAGATAGATGCCCATGACAACGTGGCATGCAAAGAGCGATGGTCCCATACAATCACGAGCGAGGCGCCAGACTGGTCTGATGACATCGAGAGTAATGCAAGTGATTTCACGTCTATAAAATACAGTTACATCCTCAGCCAATTCAACACGAATGCCTATCGAGAAAGTGGCGTGCCAACAATATCGGCCAAATTGTATAATAATACTGCGGGAAACCAGTTACACAATGTTATAAATCCGGTGAGCCGCGTCCGATTCCTGGCCATGGCTCACATCAGTGATGAGCGCTTTCAGAGCGGGTCAGGGGTCACCACTTACGACGCCTTTACCAACCCACTAAAACCAGCGTGGATTTATTATCGAATAAGCCCCATAACTGCCAAAACAATGGGGGGGGGGGCTTCATCCAGTGGTGTATTCACAAAGGGTGATACGTAAAAATGTATTTACATATGGAGAGGCAACCCATTTTTAATGGACATACACAAATTCCAGTGCTTATTCCAGGGTATAATTTTCCAATATTTTCAAAGCTGGCCCCAACAGTTGTTTTCAATGCAATTCTATAAAAAGACTGCACTGCCAAAATACTAAAACATTATTTGGTGACAAGTGTTGTATTTTATCAAAACACAAATCAGTTTCTTAAATGTCCTGCAGCGATTTTTGTGGGGCGTGTTGTTTACCAAGGTAAAAAAATGTTTGTCTTGCTGATTTATCCGGAGGCTGGGATGGTCTTGAAAATTCTTTAGAGTTTACACATTCTTTTATGGATTCCTCATTTTTAAAAAGGCACAAACTTTAAACTAAAATCTTTTAAGTGCATGTCGGGAGGATGGATTGGAATGAGGTTTGTGACATTCAATACGATATTCCTCAATATTTTCAGTGTAATCATAGTACGGTTTTGTTTACATTTTCATGACAAAAATTTCAAACACTACATAAGTCTTTATTTTTTATTTCGTTTAAATATGCTGCGTTTATATTAACTTAAACTCAACGTAATTGTTCCCCAATCAGCACAGCTGCCCAAAGTACACACCCAAATAAGCACCACACTGCACCATTACTCTAGGCACTTCAGTGGTTGGCTGTCAAGACGAGTTTCAACAAAACAGATAATTCAGGCTTCAGTGAATGTTTTTTTATCCATAAATAAACCATGCAAAGCCAGCAAGCGAAACACACATATTGCGTAAACATCAGCAAGGGAAACAGTTTTATTCATAACGCTCGTAATTTAATTCGGCTCGACATAAAATAAACAAATTGAGCCAACCATGTCAAGGACATATCATGCATGTGAACTTTATGACCAAATTCTCAAAGCTTTGTTTTCTATCTTCTTAAATTAGCCCACCAGTTATTTGGACATGATGGTGGTGTGGCTTGCCACGCAACCCTTTGGTGATATTAATACATTGTGAAATAATGCTCTTGTTGCAGCAACACAAATTCTAATGGCTGAAGCGCAGAGGGTGGTCAGAAGTCGACTGTGTATTTGAATGCTCAGTGGGGCTGAAAAAAAATGGGCACGTTTGTCAAAATGTTTCGCTTGCCGACTGACAATGTACAAACACGGCATATTGCCATTAGTGTACGAGTCACGTGCGTGAAAAGTGTTTTGGAAATTTCTGTTGTGCAATTGTTCATGACAGCGTCTCTCCTGGATCATGTCACGAGTGCGTTTGTGTTGTTTTTTTTCTCCCAATTTAGTTTTTTGTTGATTTCAGCTTTTTTTATTTTCCCTAAAAACTTGTCGATGTATTCTGGATGACCGGACAAAACGTGAATCTGATGTGAAGCAAGCTCCTCCGTGATTTTTACTGCTGTGCTCCTGGGCGTAGGCGACTCAACCCCCGTGCAGTGTGGAGATGAACACGACCGTATCCTGGTCCACCAGTTTATAGTCCAACTCCCCCTGTAACATATGCGCGCACACACACACACACACCTCGCCTCAATACAACCATGACAAAGGCTCAGAAACGTGAAGATATAAGCATGCACTTCTGAGGTGGCCAAGTGGCTCAACAGGCAGAGTGCTAAGTTGGCACCACTGAGTTTGATTCCAGGCAGCCACCTGTGATTAAACTGGGTCCCCTCTCAAGTGTAGCGAGTTGATGATCTCAGCCTGGTCCCCAATGAATGCACAAATAAAATTTGGTGCTGCACTTATTTTCACTAAATTCCAGCTCTGAGAATTAAAATATCGTAGTCTGTCGTACGACAAACAATACTCTCTCATATGCCTGGCCTCAACTGTATGGACAAAGAAGTCACGTAAAGGGATCTCAAAAGGAATTATCTGTGAAATCAGCATATGTGGATCATTCCCTAACACAAAGGTTTGTACTACTCTGCAAGAAGTATGAACAGATAATCTCATAACATGCCATGTATAGCACAATCGGGATGGAATTGGGGGGAAATTACAACATAAATGTATCACTATGGGTAAAAAAAATACACACATTGTATGCCTTTTTTGTGAAGGAAAAAAATCCACAGGCTCTCATGGGTTAAAAGGACAATTATTTATTTTTACATGACAGAAACACAGGCTGGCAGCCAAATTAAGTGAATACTGCAATAGTGCCACTTGGGCAGTTTTCATAACAACCCAATCTATGAAGACTAAATGAAAAATTCAAATGTATGGAATCAGCTTCATTCAAGTCAATGATATTGACCGAGTATTATAGTGTTCAATATTCTATTGTGCCCTGAAATTGCATTCACATAAGCATCACGAAAATTGCCCGCCTACTGCACCAGATATTGGCATTCGATAAAGCATTCCAGCACTGATACGTTCTGAAGATGACGTCTTAAAAATATGTAATGGGACGAGACTGTAGTGATAAAACTGACAAGACATAACTCACCATTTCTTGACAAACAATGCATGAACTGTTGTCACTAAAGTAAAAGTTCATTGTGAAAAACACACCAGCCTAGGCGCCTGCAAACACTTCGAAGCGAGTGTGCATTTTCCTTGCCGTTTCAGAACCACTGCAGTTTTCAGCTGTGTGTGGACGGTATTTTTGCAAACCGTACAGCTCATTTATGTGCCAGGCACTTTGGGAATTTCTTTCTGTGAATGGCCCCATTTGAAAATAAGTGATGACGCTTTATACTCGCGGTTATCACTTGCCTTGCCCCTTTTTTCATAGTTACATAAGAGCACTCACCAGCAGTTCCCAGTCGGTATCATTAATCAGCACGAGAATCCCTGGCCGCCTGTGCAATACAGAACAGCGACCAGTCAGCAGCAAGCACCACCATCAATCCACACAGCAATGTCAGCAGAAGCACTAACTTACAGCACACTGCACTAACAAATAAATGGGTGGAAATGGCACAGCCTTCTGGTCCTAGTGGTCAGCTTGCTCATACGTGGCTCTGCTTGCAGTATTAATTCAAATTCAACCTCAGCATCTCCGACAGGGCCATTATTAAAGGAAGATGCAACCCCAACAAAACAAAGCGCTTATTTGCAGATACACACACACACCTATACTGTGTCCCAGGCTCTCTGACATAAGGTGAAACTTATTTTGTTCAAAATATTTTTTTTGCAATGATGTGGGAGACGGTACCCTTCTCAGTGCCCACCTATTACGAGTTTTCGTGTCACCTTAAACACACCATCTTGGTGAAATGGACGTCATTAATTCGAATCCAGATATGATCAGTAGAACTAATACAAAAAAATGACTGTGGGCTGTCCATTACACAAAATGTATGTAATGTATTGAGTACCAGAACCCACAACCCCACACCCCACTCACACGTTATCGCCTTGGATGAACAGCTCTGGCCGCTCCTTAAGGAGGTTTTTCCGGATCCACACCAACAGCTGTCGCACATCCCCTGCAAACACATGGGCAGAGGTTTGTCCCCTTATTTGTCCTACGAACTTAAAAAATTATCACGGTAAAATTGTCTAATTGGCATTGACGTTGGGGGATGCTGTTCGTGGATCCTCTAATCGCCGGAAAAAATCATGATAAAAACTCATCTCCTCCATGAAGAAAATTTGCAGAGAGGAGATCTTCGCCGCACAATTCCCAACATTTGCAAACTTGCATCAAATTGCATGAGTTCTTGTGGACCACGGCAGTCCCGTGGATTTTAGGATTCGTGGAAAAGAGGAACGTAGATTAGAGATTGACTGTATTTAACATGTATAGTGTGTCGTGCCGTAAAGTATTCCATGGACATGGTGTTATTGGTCTCTTACCTGATTATTATGACTATTTCCTGGGGTGGAGACGAAGTCATAAACCTGGCCACCAGAGTTCAATTCCCAGCCACGACTAACATCAGCGACATGTACCATCTGAACCAGTCCTGGCCAGTGGATAGCCAAAGGGCACTAAAGTATTACTATCAAATATATTACAAATAATTAAAAATTTCAGATACAGTTTAGATTATTTATTCATGCCAGGTGTAAGACCTGTACATATTTTATTTATATTTTCTATGTACAGTAGTTTTGGACAAGCAACATTGGCTTTTCAAATTCCCAACAAGTCAGTCATATTTAACAAGTGACGCAGACAATGCTTCATTCTTGTGATAACATACTTTCATGACAATATTTCATATATCGGTTTCAATCAGTCTACGAAGTGATTTCACAATATACTACAATTTAAAAGAAAAATGTTTACACTACCACATGCAAAATGTCCTGACACATGAGTATTTTAGTACACTGACAAGTACGATTCACTGGCACATATTTGCATGTGCAAGTATGTAAAATTCTTTGTGTTGTTAGGTACACATTTGTTTTACAGTCCGACATGTAAAATGACAGGAGTGCCGTTGTAAGGACCCACGTTGACTCACAAGGCTTTTCTTGTTGACTTAGCTCCACCTTGTGGGACTTTACGCCACCAAACAGCAGCTCGGCACCACCGCTGTAAACACACATTAAGCAAGGCCTGCTAATGTGCCATCACTGCAGCAGTGCTACCATACATCATGGTTTCCATAATTACAATACTCTCACCATAATTATAAAACTACGAGCCATCATCACAGCAACCTTTACCATCATTCCAACAATCTTTACCGTCATTACAACGCGATTAACATTAATATAATTCTTACCATCAATAGATAATTATTACAATACCACGCTTACCGTGAATCTAATACATAGGTTTTCATCAGCAATATAATCAATGATCCATATTTGTTTTTGGGTTAGGCCACTGAGCAGATGTATGGCCAACTCCTTGTAATTAACCCTCCCACCAACCCGACACGATTGCCACGCATGGCGGCAAGATTATAGTATTGACTTACAACTGCTGTTTAAATCCCTTGTGTTGTTTTAACCATCACAGTGAAAATCCCTCTTTAATTCGGCCGGTCTCATCACATCTCCAAGCTAAGCAGGCTTGATATTGACAACTATCCCATGCACTTCTCTTCTAGATTTGAAGCTTTCGTGACTGCAAGGATCCATACTTTTTGGTTCTATTCGGTAAAGTCACGTAGGTAAAAAATAAAACAACAAAAAAACACGACGTTTCGGCCATAACACCAGCGGCCTTCATCAGGTGAAGGGACCAGATTGTCTCGAAGACTGCGCTGGAGTGAAACAGAGCCAAGCTCAGACCACAGCCTTTAAGCTGTGTGAGAGGGATTAAGGTGCCTTGACAACGGAATTAGCATTAAAAAATTGCAATTTAATAGGCGGACTTAGCATGATGAAAGGTAGGGAGGGGGTCGACCTGTGCAGGCTGGCGAGGTGGCACGGCAGCGTCCACATGCTGGTGGTGTGAAAAGGGGATTTTAAGAAGCTGCGAAAGTTTGGGGTACCACTACTAGAAAATATACTGTACCATTGAATAATTAGTTTAATGTTTGGTTCGATTTAGAACATCTTTCCAATGATTTAAAGCTTTCGTGACTGCAGTAATTCATATTCTTAGTTTTTTCGGTAAAGTCACGTTGAAGAGAAACAACAAAATAACAAAATATATATATTTTATTGTTTTATATATATTTTGTTATTTTGTTGTTTCTCTTCAACGTGACTTTACCGAAAAAAACTAAGAATATCTTTCCAATGGTTGCTTAATTTGAAACCATCTTCTCGGTTGAAATTGTGTCTGTGTTTGTAGATCTGAATTGCCTCGTGAACAAATCTCTGATAGAAACCCGTGGGTTTGCAAAGAACCTTGGTATCGGAGAAAATTATATCATGATCACCCACAGCGTTGTAACAGTGATCAGCCACGGCAGAAGAATTCGTTCTGCCGTGTTTCAAATATGATTTGTGCTCGCGAATTCGGTCAGAGACAATTCGCTTTGTCTCCCCGATATAGCAATCACCGCAGGTACAACTCAATTTGTAAACCCCGGGGTACTGTAAGTCAGGAATGACATCCTTCACGGATGGGATCAGATCACGAATTTTATGTACTGTATTGAACCGGACCTGGATCTTGTGTTGGTTTAGAATTTTGGAAATCTTTTTAGTAACGCCTGCTATATATGGTAGTGTGATGGTTTTGACCGGAGTATCAAGTGGTTGTTTCTGTATGGAGGGAGAAACAGCTTGGCGGATGGTACGGTCAGAGTATCCATTCCTTTTGAGGGCCAGGTGTACATGTTTTAATTCACTGGTCAGGTGGTGTTGGTCCGAAATGCAATGAGTCCTGTGGTATAAAGTTTTGATGAGAGAATTATTCTGAGCTGGGTGGTGGTGGGAATCAGGCTTCAAGTAGGAATCCGTGTGGGTGGGTTTCCTGTAGACAGAATGCCCCAACGAGCCATCAGGTCTCCTCTCAAACAGAACATCCAAGAATGATAGCCTGCCATTCTTCTCCACTTCCATGGTGAATTTGATGGTGGGATGTCTGGAATTGATGTCGTGTAGGAAAAGGTTCAGAGCTGGGAGGCCATGTGGACAAATGACGAATGTGTCATCCACATATCTCTTCCACAGGGAAGGTCTGAAGGTGGAAGTCTGGATGGTGTCCGATTCAAATTTCTCCAAGAAAACATTGGCTATCACTGGTGACAAGGGGGAACCCACGGGAGTACCCTCATTTTGCTTGTAGAAGGAACCATTCCAAGTAAAGTAGGTGTTGGTGAGGCAGTGCCTGACCAGAGTAGGTACCTCGGGGTTTAGTCCATGTTGTACCAAATTTTCAATTATATCAATGGTATCAGGTACCGGGACCTTGGTGAACAAAGAGACCACATCGAAGCTGACAAGGATATCGTCAGGGGACAGTACAACGTCCTTGACCATAGAAACCAATCGGGCCAAGTTAAGTACTGCTGAGGCGGTCTCGCCAGTGAAAGGTAGCAAGGTATCCGACAGGTTGGTATAGGCTGTGGGGATAAGTGGTGGGCAGCAGAGGACAGCGGCGCAAAATGCATTGTTGCACAGTACTATACTGTCGTTCTATGCTCCCACGTCTAAGCCCCTCCTCCTCACCAATCCGCATCGACCAGCGTGGTGAAGGGGCCATCCATAAATGACGTCACGCACCGAGGGGGGGGGGGGGTCAGACATTTGTGACGATGTGTGACGAGGGGGGGGGGAGGAGTTTGAAAAATGTGACGTCACATCAAAATGCGCAACTTTAAATAAATATAAATTAAATGGAATTGTTATAACACTCATTTTGATTCATTTTCACTATTGACTATTTAAATTTACTGAGGTCACCTTTTATTTATTCCATGATAGAGCATTTTGCTTCTCCATGGGAGAATGGAGAAGCATACATTTTGTAATTTTTTTGAATTGTTATTAAACATTTTGATTCTAATGATACTACCAGGGCTTTTGATTCTGTGGAATGAATGTGATGGTTATATTTGTACTCTCCATTTTGCTTCGTTCTACTACAAAGTTAAGTATTTTGAATATTTTCAAGTGAATTTATGCTAAATTTCAGCTTTCCAACGCCTCCTTTTTCATACAAAGACTTTTTAATGTTTTCTACAACATCAGCGTGCAGCGCCACATTAAATACGCACTACAATTACAATAGTTTAAAAGTATTTGAAGCATCTTTTATTTTCAAAATGGAAATGTTTTTTGGGGGGGGGGGGCAGAGCTTTGTGACGTCATATTTGAGGGGGGGGGGGCTGACTTTTTGTGACGCCATGTGACTCGGCCAAAATCGCGTGACGTCATTTATGGACGGCCCCTATGGTCAACAAGACGCGCGCAGGCCAACCTATATCCAGCAGTGGGTTGGCGTGGTGTAGCCTGCGCTAAGGTCCAGGCTCTGAACATATCACACCTCATATTACTGTGCTTTTATAATACGAGTTGATCGATCTCGGTTCTCATTTGATTTCATTAAGACTGGCGAGGCCTGGTTTGAATTTAAAGTCAACAAAGCATAGGACGGGGGGGGGACATTCAGACGAATAAATTAGTCTCACATTAGCAAAGTGGTAACGTTTTATTCTGCGGCATAAATCACGAACCATTTCAGGCGATACCAACAAACCACCACCCGTTCGCGAACTCACCCGAACTCCACGTTGAGCGAGATGGGCGCGGCCATTGCTGCTGCGAGGACCCCGCCTCGGATCGGGGTGGGGTGGGAAGGGGGTGTCCAGCGCGCTGCCTGCCAGGCGAACGCAAACGTCAATCATCTCTAGATTTGAAGCTTTCGTGACTGCAAGAGTACGTCAATCATCTCCGCAAAGACAAAGATCCCCCGTGTGGCATCGACGGGTTGCTTCGGGGCGGGAGTGGGTGGTGGTTCTAGATTTAAAGCTTTCGTGACTGCTAGGATCCATACTCTTTGGTTCTATTGGTTAAAGTCACGTAGGTGAAAATAAAATAACAAAAAATCACGACGTTTCGGCCACAACACAAGCGGCCTTCATCAGGTGAAGGGACGAGACTGTCTGGAGGACTTTACCCAATAGAACCAAAGAGGTGGTGGTGGGGGCAAGTGCTGTTGGCGAGTAGCTTGCATACCTGTCAACCCCTTATCAGTGCCCGACCTTATCACAGACCGATTCAGACACTTATTTGGTCACCACGTGCCCCTGATAAAATCTCAAGGTTCATCCTACAAAGTCCCATCACAAGGGAGACAACACAAACGCAAATTTGCCCGTATTGAAACGGCTGTACGCCGTGTGGACCTGAACAACCCAATTTTCAGTGTACAATAATACGGTGTACAGCGTGTGGGTTGACGAGTATGGACTAGTACCTATGAAGAAGGTATGTGGCACAAGAGGGGGTGGGTGCCCAGCACCACGCCCGGCCGCCTTTGTCTCCCGGCCAAACCAGGTTACTCGTTTTAAGGTCGAGTCGACCTAGGGGGGGAGCGTGATCGCTTCAAAGATTCGCCACTGTCATTGATCGTCGTGAGCGGGAATCGAATTCACAACTCAACACACACCCGGCGAAGATATATCCTCCCTGTAATTGTTTTAAAGTAAAAGCTGTAAGTGCGTTGATCTTCCGGAAGACGCGTTTTAAATGTTGTGGTCCAGAATAATCTTGCTCGCCTATAGATGGTGCTCCATAGCAAGACTATATCGACACCGAAACAAAGGGGCCGTCCATAAATGACGTCACGCACCTGGGGGGGGGGGGTGTCAGACAGTTGTGACGATGTGTGACGAAGGGGGGGGGGGATTGAGAAATGTGACGTCACATCAAAATGCGCAACTTTAAATAAATATAGACAACACGTTCTACTTAATTAAATAGACTTTTCAATAAATGTTTTCTACAACATCAGAGTGCAGCGCCACATTAAATACGCACTACAATGACAATAGATTAAAGCGATTGGTAGCATGTTTTCATCTTCAAAATGGAAATATGTTTTTTTGGGGGGGGGGGTAGAGCTTTGTGACGTCATATTTGAGGGGGGGGGGTCTGACTTTTTGTGACGCCGTGTGACGAGGGGGGTAAAAAAATCGTCTAAAATAGCGTGACGTCATTTATGGACGGCCCCAAACCCGTGAACCCACGTGGTTTACCCCGTATTCTTGTACAGGACAATTGAGTTGTTCGGGTCCACACGGCGTACAGCCGTTTCAATGCGGGCAATATTCGTTTGTCTATTGTTTTTGTGTGTCTCCCTTGTGATGGGACTTTGTAGGATGGACGTTGAGATTTATAAGGGGCACGGGGTGACCAAATAAGTGTCTGAATCGGTCTGGAGTAAGGTAGGGCACTGATCAGGGGTTGACCGGTTTACTATACACTACTTTACACTACTATACCATACCTGTCAGCCAATACTTTTACCCGTATTCTTGTACACGGTAATTTAGTTTTCAGGACCATACAGCGTACAGCATTTTCAATACGGGCAAACAGTTTTTTGTCTATTTCTTTGTGTTTCTGCCCTGTGATGGAACTTTGTAGGATGAACGTTGAGATTTAGAAGGCCACAGTGGTGACCAATAAGGTCTGAATTGGTCTTTAATAAGGGAGGGCACTGATAAGGGGTTGACAGGTATGCCGATATAACAAGAAACCACCAGTAGTTCCCAATAATATTTGGGAAGACATCTCTACCCATTGTAAAGCAGCATATTCATTATGAGCTTCTATAAAACATCTCCAGTAATCTGTTATCTTCTGTAAGGCAACGATCCAATTGTTTAGAATAATCTTCCGGAAGTAATCTCTCCTTATTTTAGAGCAGCATAATTTTATGTTCTAATATATAATCCGTACAATATGAAAGTTACAGTTGTTTAAAACAAAAGATCGAATTAAGGGCCCCTGGTGGATGGATGTCACATTGACACATTTCGATGCTCTTTGTTTGTGGTTTGCGTTGCGCGATGTTGCCCTCTGGTGGTGACTTTACTGCAGAATACCGCCCTACAGGACTATAAACTGCAGATATGCCCAGATTCTTTGCTATACAGGGTGTTTTAAAATGATGGACCCGATTTGAAATCGCTATATCTCTGCAACCACGAACCGCGCATGAATGAAACTCTTACCACTTGAAGGGGGCGGGCCACAGAGTTTCAAATGATTACCGCTAGATGCCGCTCCCAGCGCACAAACAGCCCCTAGCCTCAGTCATTCGGAAGATGGTGACCTCGCAACACAAGGGGCGTTTTGCGTTCTGCAGTTCAGCAAGACTGAATCCGTAATTGCGGTGCAGCGTACGTTTCCACGGCGTTTTGCCATTGATCCGCCAATGTCAAAGAGCACGGTGGCACAAAAACACGGTCGACTAATCTGGATGACCCCAAAAACAGAATCACGGCAGCGGTAACTTCAGTGGAAGAAGACACTTTCAGAGGCGTTAGAGACGAATTCAACTATCGTCTCGATGTTGTCCGTACAGCAGGTGGAGGGCACATAGAGCATTTATAAAATGGTTAGTAAAACTTAATAACTCATTGAACCGTCTGTAACTTTCTGTGTGATTGAAAATGTTGCCATCGTGAAATATACTGCTTTGAAATTGGGTCCATCTTTTTATAAACACCCTGTATATTAAAGTCGTGTTCAGTAAATCCGGACCAACGAACATCCCTTTAACTCAAAAGACTGAATAACGGCCAATTCCTTTTTAAAAAAAATGTTCAACAAAATAATTGTATATTTACTTAACAAATATTGCAAACTGCCTATGTGTATGAGAGCATAAAATCGTATTTATTTCGACAGGAGCAGGAGTTGGCTGCATACAGCTCCAGAGCCGCATGCGGCTTTTTAAGGGCTTGCTTCGTGACGTTATTTATATATTAAGGACCCACCGTCTCGTATTCACGCGCATTGTGATAAATTTAGTGTTTTTTTTGTTTTGCTTATTTTGGAGGAATGAGAGCACACGTGCAGGCTGGAATTGTTGCACAAGCTATAAACAATTAAGGCTTGTTTGTGATGCGTTATATTAAATACAGCAAATTGATCAAATGTCCTTTCACTATCGTGAGGCAATGTTATTTCTGCAGGCGTTATCATTTAGGGATGCTGTTAATGGAACAATTAAGTGCGTGATAGCCAACGCCTGTATCGGTAGAGGATAACACAAAGATTTCTACGAACATAAAATAAAACACTTGATACCCCACCCCCCCACCCAAAAACAACAAGGGTTGCCCCATAGTTTATTTACGCAGTAAGTTAACTAAACGTGAAATTCACAATTATCACTTCACTCAATGCAAAGGTATGTACACACATTCCGCAAGTGTTTGAATAATTAAAGAATTTGCAACTGAAAAATGCTGCAGGTAAATAAAGCCCACACTCTTCTCGCTACAATGTGCTACGCTACACACACAGCATGGACACACACACAGCATGGACACACACACACAGCATGGACACACACACACAGCATGGACACACACACACAGCATGGACACACACACACAGCATGGACACACACACACAGCATGGACACACACACACAGCATGGACACACACACACAGCATGGACACACACAGCATGGACACACACAGCATGGACACACACAGCATGGACACACACAGCATGGACACACACAGCATGGACACACACAGCATGGACACACACAGCATGGACACACACAGCATGGACACACACAGCATGGACACACACAGCATGGACACACACAGCATGGACACACACAGCATGGACACACACAGCATGGACACACACAGCATGGACACACACAGCATGGACACACACAGCATGGACACACACAGCATGGACACACACAGCATGGACACACACAGCATGGACACACACAGCATGGACACACACAGCATGGACACACACAGCATGGACACACACAGCATGGACACACACAGCATGGACACACACAGCATGGACACACACAGCATGGACACACACAGCATGGACACACACACAGCATGGACACACACAGCATGGACACACACAGCATGGACACACACAGCATGGACACACACAGCATGGACACACACAGCATGGACACACACACAGCATGGACACACACACAGCATGGACACACACAGCATGGACACACACAGCATGGACACACACAGCATGGACACACACACAGCATGGACACACACACAGCATGGACACACACAGCATGGACACACACAGCATGGACACACACACAGCATGGACACACACAGCATGGACACACACAGCATGGACACACACACAGCATGGACACACACACAGCATGGAACACACACACAGCATGGACACACACAGCATGGACACACACAGCATGGACACACACAGCATGGACACACACAGCATGGACACACACAGCATGGACACACACAGCATGGACACACACACACAGCATGGACACACACACAGCATGGACACACACACAGCATGGACACACACAGCATGGACACACACAGCATGGACACACACAGCATGGACACACACAGCATGGACACACACAGCATGGACACACACAGCATGGACACACACAGCATGGACACACACAGCATGGACACACACACACAGCATGGACACACACAGCATGGACACACACAGCATGGACACACACAGCATGGACACACACAGCATGGACACACACAGCATGGACACACACAGCATGGACACACACAGCATGGACACACACAGCATGGACACCACACACAGCATGGACACACACAGCATGGACACACACAGCATGGACACACACACAGCATGGACACACACAGCATAGACACACACACACAGCATGGACACACACAGCATGGACACACACAGCATGGACACACACACACACAGCATGGACACACACAAAGACAAAGATCCCCCGTATAGCCCGTAGCAGACTGTTGGGGCAAGTGCTGTTAGCGAGCGCCTATGAAGGCCGGAACGGCACAAAACCAACGCCCGGCCGCCTTTGTCTCCCCAGTGGTGATGTTCACAAACCAAACCAGGAACTGATTTGAGGCTGAGTCTACCCAGGGGAGGCCCATGACCGGTTCAGATTATCGTCACTGGTGTTGGCCATGAGCGGGACTCGCACTCTTGTAGCCAGGTTCGTAGCTCAGCGCATCAACTGCTACACTACAAACATACACACACACACAGACTCACCAACGGGTTGAGTCAAAGTTGATCTACTTTGTGACTCCTTCCGGCAGAAGGTAGAAAGTCACCAGCAGCGCCATCACCTCCAGACCCACCATGACCCAGAGATCAAGCCAGAAGGGAACCTTGCCTCCGAGGGCCTCCATTGTGTGTCTTTGTGTATCTGGCGTTTGTGTCTAGTGTGTGTGTGTTGCACTCCTTTGTGTCAGTGTACGTGTCCGTATCCGTGTGTGTGTGCGCGAAAGTAGAACAATCAGAAAAAAAACAATTTACTGTGACACCTACGGCTCGCGCACAGCTATTCACCTGGCCAAATAGGTGAGGCACTTCCTACTGTTTTGCCCAGGTCAGAGCACTCACCTGTGATTTGCCTGGCTTCTGTTCCCGCCCCCTGTGGCGTCAATACCTGCAATGCTGTTGTTACCTGCTGAGTCTTCCTTTGGTGTGGGTTTGGCCAGCCAGGGCTTGCTACGTGATACTTTTCACGTCCTACCTGCCCTGCCAGGTGTGTCACGCTTGGCAGGCTGCTGGTCATTCATCACTGCACGGTAATATATTTCATCATTGGGGAACACTTTCCATCCGCCCAATAACGCTTTCCTTTGGTGCTCTTTAATGAAACATTAAGTGAAAAGGTTTCTGCTCAGTGTACAAATTAATTAATGGAATGCGAGTTATATTCGTGGCACAAAAGCAATCTTTTCGAATTTTAATCCATGAGTGCATGTGCGATTTATGTCAAAGCTGGGAATGTGCGCCAATTGAAACCCTTCTTGGAAAACTGCATCGATTTTGACTGGATCAAATGCCCTTTTCATCGTCTAAAAAACAAGGTATTGTGGCGTGGGATATTCATCGGTATTTTCCAGTTCATCACTCAAATGTCCTTGACAGCTAATCCCTAACAGTGTTAACCCTTACCCAGTATAACTCCTGTGAGTCTCGTGTTATAACTCTGATCAATGGAGGGCAATTGTTTGCCATTTTAAATACATATATTCCTCTCTTAATATAAGCAGTTTTGTTCCACAACAACCCAACCGCATAGTTTACTAGTAGATTGGTCAAATGTCTGGCTCAATATATATAGTCAGATGTAGTGCTTACACATACCTTGCCTGTATATGGAAGGAGGGGGCACATTGTCAGTTGGCGTCGTCACACAGTGATGTTTAGTGTTCTGTTTACACGGCAAAAGCTGTACAAGGCTGAGCTTGAAGCACAGCGGGCTGGCAAAAAAACATTATTGAATCCAGAGCCGAGGATATGTTTGTAGTGTTGGGGATTGCAGGAAGAGGAACCTCTCGATGTCTTGCGAGACATGGGGGTTATTTGACCGTATTTCACCACGCTGGTCAGTTCAGGTCAAGTGAAGGCATGGAGCATAGACATGGGGGCATAGACGTATTGGACGTTGCTGTACTGCTTGCCATCAGCTGTCCATCACGCAGCCCGAGAATTACATTTACGATGCTTCTTTTCATCCATTCTACCCCTGGAAAAAATACACTTTTAATCTCAATAGGTTCAGAGTTGGTTATAACGGTCACATTATTTAAAGCAATTACACTATTTTGATTTAAAGCTTTCGTCACTGAAGGAATTCATATTCTTGTTTCTTTCGGTAAAGTCACGTGACTTCACTGAAAGAACCAAGAATATCAATTACACTATGTTAATTTCACCAGCGTCGTGAAGTATTGTCCGATCTGAGTTAAGTTTTATTATAGCTGTTCTGTCACTGCAATCCACACTGGAGTGCACTCAATAAACTCGTAAAATTAATTGAATTGGACTGCATTATGATCTATGAACATTCAGTAATCGACATACAAGTGTAGTGTAATAGCGGCGGCTGCTGTCCAGCAGTGGCAACTGCGGTGGACAAAACATCACACACGCCGGTGAGCAAATACACGGCTGTGTGTGTCGGCAGGGCGGAGGAACTGGGGAAAGGGTCATGGAAGACCCCCACCCGAAAGCCCCTGGAACCTGCTAGTGGGTTCGAGAAGGGAGGTAGCATAAAAGGAGTTGAGAGCGGAGCTCCGGGCTGCCGGTTCTGGGAGTGAACTCGTCCCGTCGTCGCTGCTGGATAGTTATTGGCTGTCTGGGTCATCGTCATCGGTGTTGCACGGTAAGGGTTGTGTTCAGGCTGGGCTAGACGACCAGGGAGAGTGCGAGGGCGAACCTGTGAAGTAAGAAGGTGCTAATAAAGAAGGTGCCTCCTGGAAACCATTGTCTCCGAATCACTGACCCTGCACAAGTAGAGTATTATTAATATTGCGACAACACCAACAATTTCAATCACATCCGTCAAACATACCCCGTTTTAAATGCGCACTGCCTAATTTATTGAGGGCACAGAAAATAAAGATTCATTGATTGATGTTCGAAAGCGTATGGTGTCATGTTGAACCAATTATCAACCCAACAGGTGTGGTAGTAATTGAGTTGTCAGGCCAAATATATACTTGTGGTCAAACAGGTTTTCGGTCACTCCTACCTCTTGAATCAATCTCCTTAGTTATTTTGAAGCAGATATCAGAACTATTGAGGTGTAAGTAGAATGGAAGGGATACATTTGAATAAGCATTTGCGATTTTTTTTGTAAAAGTTATACCACGAAAAAATGTTTCAAGAACCTTACCGACATGAACCTAAATAAGGTTTCTTTTAAAAAAGTTATTAAATATAGATACAATGCCACCAAAACTAGTTTTCCACAACCACACACAGGAATTACATGTAAGAAAATGAACGGCAACATCTCAAAGCCTCACGCAGCAAGCAAAGCCCGACAAATGAGAGTTGCATCGTCACTTATGTTCCCGGTAAGTTTATTTAAACAATTCCCAGTTAAGAAAGGAACAACCGACAAACCCAGTAAACATGGAACATTGGGCCAATGTTGGCCCATCGTAAGCATGTTGGCCCAACGTTTGAATATATACTAGGAACACACCACACAGCCCAAGGGACGCATTTACCCTCACAACCACCCATACACAACAATAATAATCACAACAACAATAGCACACAAAGCCAGTGCTTCAAAAATTATATTAATATAGTGCCATCCTAATAACTGAGAGTCATGGGGCTTTCCATCTTTCGCAATATTCACCGTCTCTCTTGGAAAGTCCCGGCTATGTTGCTCACACTTCCTCTTTTACCAAAGATCACCATCACACAGCAGCGTTGTTCACTCATTTTCAGATGGGGGGCCACTTTCGCCGATAAGACATCATCAGTGTGAGGGCCGCCACGCGTTTGAAAGCATTGGGGGGTTTGACAGCAGCACGATGCTGGGGTGGTGCTTTCACGTGTTGTGTATTGTTGGTGGGGGGTTGGGGGGCCGCCAACGGCGAGCGGGCCTTGCAATGATGAACACTGCCATACAAAGTGCATCTCCTGCTGTTAGGGCATGTCACGCGTATTGTCGCCGCCTTCCTCCTCATCTGACTTCTTAGAAGTGTAATAATCCACGCTCGTAATTAGCCATTCTCTCTCAGCACATCTCACGCGAGTCAATGTAATCTCTCACCAGAGTTCAGAAGTACCCGTGGCCCAAAATAATCGGTGATGCTTACAGCGAAGCCCACCAACAACACCGAGGCTTCAACTCCTGTACGAGGTGGGGGGGGGGCAGCCTCCATTCCCCACCTCCCGCCCCGTGTCGATGTCACCCATTATACTTGCTCCCAGGGCAAGTAGGGCATGGGTTAGAATCCACCCTCATTGCCACCCCCCCCCCCCATACTGTCTGCTGCCCTCCCCACCATGCCGTCTGGTGACCCCCCTACCCCACCATGCTAATTGCTGTCCCTCCTACCACCTCACCCTCCACCCTGGCTCCTAGCCCCCCCCACCTCACCCTCACCCCCACCTCACCCTCCACCCTGACTCCTGCCCCCCCACCTCACCCCCACCTCACCCCCCACCTGCTCCTGCCCCCCCCCCCACCTCACCCTCCCCCCTGGCTCCTGCCCCCCCACCTCACCCTCCACCCTGACTCCTGCCCCCCCACCTCACCCCCCACCTCACTCCTGCCCCCCCACCTCACCCCCACCTCACCCCCACCTCACCCCCCCACCTCACCCACCACCTCACCCCCACCTCACCCTCCACCCTGACTCCTGCCCCCCCACCTCACCCCCCACCTCACTCCTGCCCCCCCACCTCACCCCCCACCTCACTCCTGCCCCCCCACCTCACCCCCACCTCACCCCCACCTCACCCCCCACCTCACCCCCCACCTCACCCCCACCTCACCCCCCACCTCACCCCCCACCTCACCCCCCACCCTGGCTGCTGCTGCTGCTGCCCGGGCTGCACCCCTCCCCCACCCACCCAGCACGCTGTTGACGCGTGCTAAGTTCCTCCCGATTGGTCGCCGCCGCGAGTGCGGTGGGGGCCAATCGGGGTGGAGGTGCGCGCGCCAAGGCCCCTCGTGCGGGGCGCGTGGACAGCCGCCCTTTAAATAACCCACGCGCTGCCTCGCGTCGCCACAGCTGGGAGCCCACGCACGTGGCGCGAGTGGCATCTTCGGCGCCGCCGCCGCCGTCGCACAAAAGCCGAACTGGATTTTGCTCTCCGCAACAATTTCCGGGCGATTTCATCCGTTTGCCTGCTTGCCTGGTGCCCGTGGCTTCGCTGTTACCCGGCGGCCGCTCAGTAGCAGCAACAGCCACGAAGCAGCTGCAGAAGAAAGCCACTAACTTTGTTGTGTTAACTTTTGGCTACTTAATAGTCGTTGACAATTAAACGCGTGGGTATACTTTTCGAGGATAATATCGTACGTACACAACGAGCACAGTGCGCTTGGCTGCGTCACGGCAATACGCTGTTTTGTTTGCTTTGGTGGAAGGGGTAAAGGCAAGTTTGAATCGTTGAGTCAAGCCCGTACTCGCTGTTCGGACGACTGCCCTATAACAGGTAAGGTGGGGGGAGTGGTGCTATTTTGCCCTGCATGTTGTGTTCCACTCCATTTCGTTTTGTTAACACGCAACTGATGTTATTTGCTTGAGTAGTCATGTGTTGCCTGTAAGTGCGTTAATCCGTGCATTGTGCCGTGCAAATGTTTAACGCCTCCAAGAATAATTGATTTTGCAGAATGCTATTAAACAGAGTAGGCGATTGCAACCACTGTTCATAAATACCGGACTGAAGTTGGTAAATCACTGCACAGACGGTATGCGCTATTTATGAGCGCTAATATCCTATGCGTTATACAAGTCTACATAAATGTATACGGTATATACTATACACCAGCCATTGAAAATTGCACGAACGTACAACGACTACCTGGTTTATTATGATTAAGATAATTAGAGGGGGTCCCCCCATAATCTACAATTTATGAAACACGAAATTATAGTATCACAATACATAATGCACTTTTTTACTGTGCAAATGTGTTCGCTAATTACTAACTTGTGTACAGTGCTGTATTCTGCATACGGCACATTGCTGCAACACTGATAATTGTAATCGATATATCATGTGCCGTATTGCACATTTCCTTCTAATCGTGGAAATTTGTAATCCTGTAAGTTATAGCTAAAACAACACTCGCACAAAGATGTGCATTGCACGTGTGCAAAAGCTATCGGCCTTGTGCAGTCCAGCTCAAAATAACTGCAATTGTGGCCATGTCCTTAAGTTGCGATGTGGTTTATCGTCGTCTACAGATTTGAATCTATCCTGTATTAAAATTAAATAGTTAAAAAAATGCAAGAGGACACAGCGTGGGATGTTACGCACGAAAAAAAATCTTATTTTTTTCATTTGTACGTGGGAGGAAATGGGTGTGCATTGAGAAGAACCCCACGCATTATCCTCCCACCTCCAACCCAAAAAAATCCATAAAGCTCGTGGCAACTGTGTCCACCTTGTAGCACTGCCCCTATCGGCGAATCTCTTGACCTCCCCCCCCCCCCGTGCAGGTGGGTAAGGGCACGCGGTCATCTTATCGCGATCCACCATCCCACTTCCAGAGCCCTTGCATGGATTGCGGGCTGGTGCCCACCTCGCCCGTCAAAAGCAGCGGCTACAGGCATCGCCCTTTGTCGTGCCACACTGCTGGATGAGGAGGGGATTCCGCAAGACGATCCTATCCGAAGACTCGTTAGGATGATAAGTGTTAGTTGGTCTGCCAAGAAGTGCACCATCGTGTAACGGGGGCATGTTAAACTGGCACCCACAAGCGTGCTTTGTGTAAAAAAAAGTATCCGTGCGAATGGCAGAGTTCGCCATTGTGCGTGTCATTGCCGAGAAACTTAAGCGAAAAGGATGTCTTCTTGGTTGGCACTCAGAATCGTGAAAAATTCAAGTTTTACACAACTTCTAGATTTGAAGCTTATTTGTAATGTATTGTATACAGACATTGCACGCAGTGTGTATGCACTGTGCAATCTGATTAATTGATGCATCGTTGTTCCACTTCCCCCCGTTTGAGAGTGTACGGTACTTTGCCTTTACAACTTATTAATAGAGCAGGAAGATGTACATTCTGAATAGTTGCCAGTATTAGCGCTCGACTCCGTCTTGGTATGGGAGCATACTTTTTACACCGATGGTATGTTTTTTGTATTTGCTTATTGTTGGAACTTTCTGACCCGCCCCTACTCGACAACGGTAAAAAAATAGCTTCATAGCTCATCGGATTTCTCCAGGATAAACAAAGATTCCGATTCAGAAGGGGGTGATTCAAGATAGTTTTTGTTTTTTACACGGGACATAAACTCCTCGAGCAATACAAAAAACAAGTTTTCGTCTCGTAGGCAACGCACGCGTTCCAGATTTGTTTTCAACATTCAGGGCTGCTTCGACGAGGGTGGAAAACGTTCGTGCGGAACGGGAGAGGGGGGTTGGGTGACTGGCATCACGCCGTAAAGAAGTGGACTTCCGTGAAAAGCCCCAAAAATACATAGGGGCCGTCCATAAATGACGTCACGCGATTTTGGACCGACCCCCCCCCCCTTCGTCACACGGCGTCACAAAAAGTTAGACCCCCCCCCCTCAAATATGACGTCACAAAGCTCTGCCCCCCCCCCAAAAAATATAAAACATGCTTCAAATCGCTTTAAACTATTGTCATTGTAGTGTGTATTTAATGTGGCGCTGCACTCTAATGTAGGAGAAAACATTTATTAAAAAGTCTATTTCATTATTTAGAGTTGCGCATTTTGATGTGACGTCACATTTCTCAACCCCCCCCCCCCCAACGTCACACCGTCACAAATGTCTGACCCCCCCAGGTGCGTGACGTCATTTATGGACGGCCCCATAATAACTCATGAATAATTAACGGTTTTTTTGGGTTAGATCGCGTAAATATATAAATGTGTCGTTAAACCCACCACCACCCGACACGGCCAATTGTAAGGTTTGTCACGTAAACAGAACGTGGCCAATTCGTCATTAGTACAGCACACCGGTTGTGTGTTGAAGAGCCAAGGCACAACATTTACAATCTGAGTACGAAGTTTCACCAGTAATTACAACTATCTTCAACAGGTGACAGCCAGAATTGTAATTTTACGCGATCTAACCCAAAAAAACACCTAATATTATGGATGATATTTGTCGCAAAAGCCTACCCATCACTCCTGAAGTCCGTTTGTCCATGCTGCAGTGTGTGTGTGTGGCTCAACAGGATTGCGTTAAATAAAGTGTGCGGTAGCGTGAGTTTACAAACGTGCTTCAGTGGAGCATTCCAAATCACTGTTTGGTGAGATGTTTGTATAGATTCATTTCTGCGAGGTGCTTTTGACTAAATCAGCCGGAATGCACCCCCCCCCCCCATCTCGTCCAATCTCCTGAAGCTACCAAAGCAGGGTCGAGTCTGGATAGAGCTTGGGATAGCCAACCACCATGCGCACACCAAGTTGTCATCTTGCTTGTGGTGGGCATTATTAGATGGCAAGTACTGGGCAGCAAAAGCCATTAATGTACTTGCCCTATGCTGACAGTCACCACGCTTTCAGCAGCGTGGTGAAGTATGGTCAAATAACCCCCATCACCCATGCGGCAAGGGCAGGCCCTCAAAGGGACTGTACATTTACATCTCTGGGATAGTCGTTACGAGAGTACGCCAAAACGTGTGTTGTGGATTGTCAAAACAGCTCGTGTTTGAATAGTTGTAGTGTTTTAAAAAAAATGTATACATACTATACATAATAGGCTCTTAATCCTATGTTGAGAAAAGAAAAACCCATCCCACGGGAATGTCCTCGACTAAATGTGGCCCACATTCTTGACACGCGTGCCCCCAAAAGCCTCAATAACTGTTAAATTAGGTCCTGTTGCCTTTTGTGAAGAGACTTTAGAGCTGGATTTGAAATTGTTTTTCATCTTGTTTACCCTTTTGGATTTCGGTAAATTATAGAGAGGCAATGTTTGGCTTTGTAGTTGGTCATTGCCTTCGGGCACGGTTTAAATACGGTTTATTTACACACCAGTAGTTAAAGAAAATTACATTTTTAATTATTTCGCGTGGGATTCCTTTTTGATAAGGAATTACTGTTCTTATCTTATAAAAACACATTACGCCATGGCCACATACCATGTTATATAAAATCAGTTGGATACATTCATTATTTTAACTCTTATAACATACATTTTGATTTAAAGCGTTCGTGACTGCAGGGATTCATATTCTTGGTTCTTTCGGTAAAGTCACGTAGAAGGGAAACAATAAAATAATAAAAATATAAAACAATAAAAAGATTTTATTATTTTATTGTCTCTTATAACATAATTTTATTTTTGACACAAAGTCTACGCTTATGATTCATGTTTTTTTTATTTAAAAACCAGAAGCAACAAACCCCATGGTATAGAGGTCACAATGCATCTTTATGCCTGCTTAATGTACCACCGTAGTCACAATCTATGCCATGAAAGTGTGTGGTGTGCGCGTGGAAACCGCAACTTAGTACCGGGGAAATAAACTCGCGGATACCAAGGAGTAACACCCACATCTGTGAGTTACCACCATCTACGACACCTGCTATTCCAATTCAGCCTCCCATCCATGTGCTGTACTAACCAGGCTAAAATCATGCTTAGCTTCCCAGATGTGACAAGTTCAGGTGAGTTCAGGGCGATTACTGACAGGCGTCTCGCTTATTCCAACGTTTGTTTGGGCGTGGGTGCACACATCGGGAATGTAAACGAGGTGGAAAAACAACCAACTCCAGCTTAACGCTCCACAACCTCCCCTTGGTGACGTGGATTCGGCAGAACATTGTGCTCAAGGGTTGCCTGCTTATTGGTGATGATGCAAGGCTCAATCCACTTATTTCGAATGGCTTTCTGTGTTGAGTTTGTCATTTCCCTGCACCTCTGATGAGCACGGTTGGCTACGTATGGCGTGAAAGAAGTTCAACATCCATACGTTCACAAAGCCTCCATTCCTTGTGCGGAACGATTGCACATTTGTAAACGCTTCGATTGCCAAAAGAGACCGCTTAAAGACGTGATTTGTCCAACTTCATTCCATCAACATTTTCCACCACAGTCCACCTCTCCACATTTCCTATTTTGTCTGCACTTGGGTGAAAATGGACACAGGTTATACACACATGATGCCCTTTAATTGATCGAGAAAAGCCTCACTGAATTTCAAGACCTTTTTTCATGAGGGTCCCCTGCATTTGGAGTTTTTTTAGATTGAGAGAAAAACGGCGTACCAAGGAAAAAACTCGCACATTTCGAGGGGAAACACTCTAAACGTGCGTGTAGATGGATGGAATAAAGCAGTTGTTGCTCTGTACTGCTGCCATATCCTTGCCCCCACCCTCCTCACAGCCCAACGGGTTTGGGAGTTTTACAAATCTGTGATCCCACCAACCTTTGCCTCCAAAGTGCTGAATCACAAGCATGTGCCACCATGCCTGCCTGGTAACACAGCAGCCGTGCCATCGTGATGC